ATTGAGTGTGCATTTCTTGTAGCGTGTGAATTCTCTAAACATTTATCGGGAGTCTTTATAATTGCAAGTTGGAGAAAACTTGGCCATGAAACTCAAGCAAAAGAAAGTAGACAGCCAGCAATGCATCCATTAGACCCAGCAACCAGTGGGCAGAGTCATAGAATATTAGCAGAAACAACTCTTCTCAACTCTTTGCACAAGGGAAGAAGCAAATTTACTAGAATTAAGCCGAACACCAAGGCCTAGCTAGCTGCACCTCATATCAACCCACAACTCTTCTCTATATATTTACCCTTTGAAACCCTATCGTTCCCATCTCCTCTCTCTCTCTCTCTCTCTCTCGACATTGCTCGGTTGCAGACATGGATATTAGAAGGAAGTCATACATTCTAGCAGCATTCTTTCTTGTATATGTTTCAAGGAAAGCCTACTCTGTTCAAGGTGATACCAGCAAAGGCAAGAAGTCACCCTATGACGCAGCAATAACACATTACTACATGTTGTCGCCATCACCTTCAGGAAATGAAAGAGCTTTCTGCCAAGCAAGGGGGGCCTGCCTAAACAAGACGCTTGTGTGTCCAGATCAATGCAAGGTGAGGAAGCCCGTGAAAAACAAGAAGCAGAAGGGATGCTTCATTGACTGCAGTAGCAAATGTGAAGTTACTTGCAAGTGTAAGTTATACCGTGTTCCTGCTGCTGCTAATTTGTTGTAATTATTTGGCTACAGCTTCTAAAACTAATAACTTGTCCGTCGTATATCTATTTTTTACCATGTCTTTCGCATGCAGTTAGAAGACCAAACTGCAATGGATATGGCTCCCTCTGCTATGATCCTCGCTTCGTTGGTGGTGATGGAGTGATGTTCTACTTCCATGGTGCAAAGGGAGGAAACTTCGCTATTGTCTCTGATGATAACCTCCAAATTAATGCACACTTCATTGGAACTCGACCGAAAGGCAGGACTCGCGATTTCACTTGGGTGCAAGCCCTCTCCATCATGTTTGACACTCATACACTAGTCATCGCAGCAAAGAGAGTCTCAAAATGGGACGATAACTTTGATGCTCTCACGGTGAAGTGGAATGGCCAGACAGTCAATATCCCCACTGATGGAGACGCCGAGTGGAGAGCTAACGGCGAAGAAAGAGAGGTTGTGGTGGAACGAACTGATGATACTAACACTGTAAGAGTGCAAGTTGCCAACCTGGTCGAACTAAATATAAAGGTGAGGCCTATTGGGAAGGAAGAAAACAGGGCACACAACTACCAGCTACCAGAAAACGATGCTTTTGCTCATTTGGAAACACAGTTCAAATTCTTTAACCTTACAGATCTCGTCGAAGGTGTCTTGGGAAAGACTTACAGGCCAGGTTATGTTAGCCCTGTCAAGCTAGGGGTTCCTATGCCGATGATGGGAGGAGAGGACAAGTACCAGACTCCCACCCTCTACTCCCCTCTTTGTAATGTCTGCAGGTTTCAACCAGAGTCTGGCACCGCAACCATTTAGGAGCAACCCATTACTGGTAGCAAACTGAAAAAATAAAAATTGTATTCGTACCCTTTTGACTAAAAATTGTGTGCTGTTTGGTAAGTTTTGTCTTTGGATTGAAATCATAAATAATAGCAGGAAAGTTGCTCGTCTTTAATTTACTAAAGGCTTTTCTTTTCTTTGCTTTTCTTTTCCTTTTCATTTTCCCTGTCTGTTTATTAAATCACATTTTTGTTACACAATATGGATAGTAAAAACCAACATCCATGAGTTGCATTTTCTGAGCCACTTGAATAGCTTGTCCCAAGAAGCAAAATCTTATGCGCAGGAAGCTTCAACAGCTAAACTCTTTGCTACTCCCCTGCATGGGTCACCAAATGTACTGGCTGATGCTCCAATGCTGCAACTCTTTGATCCGATGCAAGCCTGTTAAAAATAGCATTTGTCGGTACAAACCAGCACAAGTTAGAGATATGTGCATAGAACCCTATTCGAAGAATGAGCAGAGTCGCACCTTCTTTACAATAGAAAGGGCCCTAGTGCTTTTGCACTGGCCGTGACTGAAACTCCCACAAGTTCCGCGAGGGGTTCCAAAGCTTGCAAATTTGATTGAAGAAATGACCTGATTAGGAAAGGGGCACTCCAATGACAGTACTGGCCCTGCTTTTCTTTCTGCTTCTGAATTTGAGCTCCACATATCTACCGGTAATGGGTGAGACTCTGATACGTGTGAGCACAAACTTGCGCTCTGTCTTGTAGCAAAAACTATCTGAGTTGGATCCCCTCCAATTTCCTCAAACAACACAAGAGTGTTGCCACTTGATTCCACCCATGAACGGGGCACATGGTATCTGCAACATTACTAATTATCACAACCAAAAACTTTGAAACGTTCCAAACACTTCCCCATTGGATTCTTGAGCACTTACAATGTCTGAGAAGGCTTTGCACAGTTCTTGAGACATTTGCTTGAACTGTAAGATCCTCTGTAATTGCAGTTGGAGCAACCACTAGTTGGAGACACCTTGGTAGGCCAATAACGTCCAATGCTTTGTCCATTCACCCATGCCTCACCCTTCCCCATCCCCAAGAAATCAATTGCGATTGGATCATTTCCAGCAGGGGCATTGAAACTGGTCTGGAACATGATTACCAGAAGTTAGTTTTAAAAAATCAATTCCGCAGCATTCAGAACAGCCAAATGGTGACACAGACCAAATGCAATTGTGGTGACTTGCAAAGCTATCCAATTAAAACACCCGAATAAGGAAAACCAATTTGAGTGTTCAAAACATCCAAACACATGTAAATGTACAAAAAAATGAAATTAGTGTGAAATTTTCCATGTTTAACCACATGAAAAGACCAGAAGCATATATAACTCTAGATATGACAAACGGTCACATGAAGAAGCCGTGAGTTAATCTCTCTTGTTGTTATAAGAAATCACAAAATATCACGTGCGTCAAAAATCTCACAAAAATTTACTCCGGTTTACTGGATCAACTGCTTCTAATACCTATTACGGTTGTGTTATATATATGAATCCTCATGCCCATCTATTATCTATGCAGGCAGCATGAATGGGAAATAATAAGATCCTCTTTTCCTACAAAATCAGCATATATATTTTTTTTATTTGGAGGGGTGAGAGTGAGAATGTTTCCATGCTAATCTAATTAGACATGGTACATCAGAGGTTTGAGCTGGTTAGTTTCATCCCCTTTTAATTCTTTTTTCAATAAGCTCAAAATCCCATGGCCCGTGGATCGTCGTGAGCTGAGCTCAGGTTCAGTAGCAGGCCTGAATGATCAGGCCACTCTGGGCCCAGGCCTAGCAAAATTAGCAGGGGGGTGAGCTGGCCCGGCCCATGAAAAGGTCTGCTCTTGACCTAGCATAGTCTGAAGACCAGCTGGTTCCAAAAGTTTATTTCAGTCTAAATCTCCTTTATAATCTAATCAGAAAAATTCATGTGCTTAGAAAATTGTATCAGCCTGCAACGAATTGTTGACCAAACTCCAATATCACAGTAAAACTGGAAGGATCATAGCATATGGCTTGATTATATTATGGATTCCATATTTAATTAAACCTAGATCATCAATAGCCAACTAATTACCTTGTACCAGATCAAAGGCTGCTTCGTGGGCAAGGCAGGTTGTGTAACCCATTGAGAATTTCCACTAGACAGGCCTAATTCTTCACCTTTAAGTCCAATCTGCATTCTCGATTTAAAAGATGAAGAAAGGAAACTTAAGAATGCTGCATTCATTCTTTTGGCTACACGCTCTACTTATTAAGGAAGTAAACAGGAAAATGTTTTAAGAAAATATCCAAAGTATTCATCATGTTCTAGTATCAACTGCATTATCTGTCAGATTGTCGGAAAACAAAGACTGACCTGATATGTCCACTGCAATGAAGAAAGGTCAACAGTAGTGCCATTTTTCAGGCCTTCCAGTTTTACTGGACCAGTAATCCCCGCACCCGTTAACTCAAAAAAAGCTCCATAGTTCTGATATAAAACACAGATTTCCATCAATTTGCATCACATCTAATTATAACACCAGGGTGGTTCAAACAGAATTGTAATACCAGGGGCCAATCACTTCTGTATCTTTGGGCTTAATTTATGCACCTAAGATCTCCCACCTTGACAACTTATGCGAAACTTGGGGCATGACATTAATTGTATTTGAATGGCGGGATTTACCAGAAGATATCATATTCTTTCAAAATTGAAAATTAATGCATCCAAATATTAAAGCATAAATCTTAGCAAGGAAAGTCGAACCTGAAGTCCTGCAGTCAAACTAAGGAGATCGATAGTGTTCTTCCCAGGTAAGAGTGTGACAGGAATCTCCACTGCAACCTTAGCATTGCCAGCGTTTCCTGTTCCACTACCTGTAAATGCTCCAATAGTTATATTAACATAGCAAACGAAGATGAGCACTTATGCCAAAACTGAAACTACACAGCAGCCTTCTTCCATCTATGACAACAAGAAGATGCAAATCCTCGGTTCATTGTTTATTTTCCATCACCTGCAAGCTTTCCATTGACAAAAGCATGAAGGGCGTGGCCAAGAGACTCCACATGAAGAACAGTTTGAGATCCATCTTCAAGAAAAGGCTCATTATCTTTGATAACAGTACTGTGACAAGATAACCAGAGAGGTTTTCATATCAAACACAACAATTAATCATAAATTTAGACATCGAACACATCAACAATGTAGTAGATTGAAGAAGCAAACAGACCACGCCTGCTTAAAGAAATTGGAAGTAATACACTGATGTACCTCAGTGAGTACCATAAGTAGTCACTTTTATCAGCTGTAGTATTTATCTGCTCCAATAGTCCAGGTTTCACGAATGCATCATTCTTTGAGATACCTACTGGTTCATATATCCAACTCCAGCTAGAGCCAAGTGTATCGGCAGAATCCGCATCTCCTTTTATAGATTGATGTACAAAGCTTGGAATCACTGTCATAGAGTTAATCTGTCACGAGAAAGTCAAGATATTTTGGTTAGTCGGCTAGCAGAATGTGAAGGGGGCTAAACCACAAGAAAGAAAGAAAAAACTTCTATCTGCTAAATAGCTTTAAAAGGCAAAACCTTTTATTTTTGGGAAATCCACGACAATGCAAATGAAATTATTGTCAACAAAAATGCAAACTGGTATTACTTATCAGACAGGAATGGTTTGGAAAAATCACACTGAAAGTTTCAATACATTGCATTTACATATTTTAAACAGCACAACTATTAGCTAGTGCCTCCATAGCTCACATGTATCAGTGTGCAATAAAACGATTCACATGCAGGAAGTTTAAATGAAGCTACATACAAAAGTTGGAAAATAATTTTACCCTTTATAGCATCCCAAGACATTCAGCATTTTCTAATTACTGAATTAATGTGCAATTCTTTAAGTCTTTAGACGCGTAAGAGTAATTCTGATGTAATTCACAAAGAAATGGAAAAACAGACCCTTTAATGACCAGCCCCATCTGTGCATCTAAATTTGCCAATGCAAGTAGAGACGCATAGCATGAATGGATAGAACTGCCAAATAATATTTGACCAATTGGATTGCAGTAAAATATGGTCAGTTATGCATCTTAAAAAATTCCTCGAACTTCAGAAAAGACACTTTCAATGGACCCAAACTAGAACAATTGAAAATATTGAGCCAGCATTTAGCAATACCATAATTCATTTCATACAAACTGTAGTAGAAAGAACAAGGGGAAGTGGAATTTCACCACGAAAGGTAAGGAAGAACAGTGGTTCAACTCCACAGCATGGTGAGAGCAGCACCACAAACCAATCAACCAACAATTAGATATGCTTCACAGAAGGAAGAGATAGAATCCAGCTTTTGTTATCAGGAGCACAAGTTCCCAACATCGCTCCGGTTGGAATTAGAGAAACTAAGTTTGTTGGAATCTTCTTACAGAGTTTGAAAGGATATAGGTTTAGAAAAAGAAAAAATGAAGACAAATACTGAAATTTGACAAGTATCTTCAGCCAAAACATATTGCCACCCAGCTGGGGAAAAGAGCATAGTTAATAAGGCAAGTATGAGTAATAGCTGAAGGATTCTGTTATGGCTGAAATATGTAGTTAATTTTTCCATATGGAGGTAGCAGAACATTAACCACGACTTTTACCCAAAAGAAATGATTGCGGAAACTTGTCTCCAAGATATGCCATTCAGCATAGAATAGAGAAGATAACAATTAGTAATATTGGTGAATATTGCCAAGTCTTCAAGATATCAGTAAGACTATGCAAATACAGATTCCGCAACCAAGGATCCACATATTTAGCCAAATTATTGAACAATCTAGCAAGTGCTAAATAAATAAATAGATTTAAGACATACTTATGAGGCTAATCTTTGCTGTATTAAGAGCTACATTCTTGCAGTCTGGTAAGATATACTAACCAAGGATCCACATATTTACCAAATTATTGAACAATCTAGCAAGTGCCAAATAAGTAAATTTAAGACATACTAATGAGGCTAACCTTTGCTGTATTAAGAGCTACATTCTTGCAGTCTGGTAAGATGCTCACAGACCAACCAGGCAAGTTATACGAATTGCCATTGAAATTTACAGTTTTGTCAGATGTGCCAAAATTGGCTAGAAAAGCAGAGCATAGCCCAGTTCCGGTTTTATAAACAGTAGCCTGAAAGGAAAATACATCAAAAGAAATTATAGATTAACTTTCAGCAAGCATGGAAAGCATGTCAAAAGTTGAAGGACTCTAGCAATGCATGAACTTATTTTGGAAGCCAGTATCTTCTAAAAATATCTACATTGATTTCCAGAAAACAAAAAGGACCAAACCACACATTTTTTACCTGTAAGGAGTGAGCAAATTATATAAAAAATCTTAGAAAGGGCACAAATGTTACTATAGTATCATGACATTTTAATGTAAAAGGTTGTGTAATCAAGCGGATAAAGTTCCCATTCATATTGAAAATCAAAATAAACATGGTCAACAAGCTATAGGAATTTCATGGCAAACCTTTTGTTTCTCTGAATTTGAGGTGTGAGTGCTTAACAGAGCTGGTGAACAGATGGACGAAACAACATGAACCCTCCCCAGAGGTAGGTCAACTTAAATAATTTTAACTAAGCAATATTAGTTCTTACAGAATCGTAGTACTTTGAGTCCTCAAAGAAGTGTATCTAAGAATTCTATTCATTCACACATACAGAAATTGATGTTTCAAATGTAAAGCGAAATAACTAGTTTCATTAAATGGGATGTACCTCCAAGTTTTGACCTAGAGATGAAGTTACTGGATCAGTCGCCACCAATGCTTCTTCACAAAGCTTGATGGACTTATGCAAATCCTTCAGATGACCCCACTTAGGTTGTCTTGTAAGTCCTGCAATACATGTCAAATATGCCAAATCCTCTTGTAGATGGACGTTGAAAAATTCTCAGAGCAAATATGGGTTAATCCCCACAATAAACCATTAGCGAAGTATCATTACAACATCATGTCGACAATAAACATTAAGTTTCACACAATTGTTAAAGCTAACAGGTAGACAAAAGACGTACCGTATTCATCAAGAGGAGCATCGTAATCATAACTTGTAGAAATAAAAGGTCCACCAGTACTCCGGCCAAAGTTAGTCCCACCATGGTACTGGAGTTGAATAATAAAAATCAGATTTGATACATGAAGTTACATTTTTTGGTTTGTAAGATTGTTTTATGCCAGATGGGATAACATGGGAATGCTCAAATGTCATGGACTCCTCAGTATCATTGCAGTACCATATAATAGTTTTGAAAAGTCCCTCCTAGCTGGTAAAACCGTGCCACAGCAAATGCAAGGTCTTCAACAGGTCTATAGGGAACAGCACCGCCAAAGGAAAGGAACCTATCATTTTTAAAATATTGAGAATGATGTGAGTGATTAGGCATCTTATATCATCCAAACTATCGCAATTGTTAAAGGTTAAAACCAAATCCCTACCATCCACTCCAATTCTCAGTCCACATCTTGGGTTTGTTTTTAGAATTGGGGGTGAACTGGTCACAGTAGAATCCATTGCAGGTGTTTATCTGGAAGAATTTCAAAAAAAAAAAAAAAAAAAAACAGAGAATGTCAAATAAGCATGTGTGTGATATTCTAATTGGCAGAAGGCACAATGCAGACTGGAGTCTGTAACTTAAAGTTTGATTGTTTTCCACAAACATGCACATGCAGTAATTCTGATTTAATAAGCCACAAGGTAAAATAAACTCACAATGGGATCAGGAGCATCTGCTTGCTGGCACATAACCCACGGAACTCCAGTATCCAGAGACACAGCCATGCTTGCTGCCCAGTTGATATAGCTTTTAGCAGCAGCTCCATATGCTGAATCAATGTTTCCGTACTCATTTTCAATCTGAAATTTAGGGGGAAAATGTTCATAAAAACCCCACCTTTTCTTTGGAAGAAAAAAAGGAAAAAAAGAAGAAGAAGAGCTTTTCTTTATGCTTCTAGAAAACAATAATCCTCAATGAGCGAACGAGTCAATCAGTGATCGATTACGTTAATAGACTGGTGATGCAAGAGTACCTAGAAAAAGACTATGCACTGTTGACTGATGATGCAAAAGAACCTAGAAAAAGAATATGCATAATTGGTCATCAAGACAAGAATACTTGAAAACAAATAAAGAAAGAGACCTGCGATAAAATGATGGGCCCTCCTTGAGATGCATAAAGCTTCTCCTGCTTCATCATGTTCACAATCTTGGCCGTAAACCGCTGCATCTCAGCCTGAAAGAGAAAGAGAGGGATCCATTAACCAAAACTTCCCAGAAACAAAATAACAGAAACACCAACAAAACAATAATTAATTATAAGAAATAAAAAAAAAACCTTGAATGGCTCGTTATCAGTTCGAAACTTGATTCCCGGTACAAAATGCAACCAAAGAGGAAACCCACTGCTCTCAAATAAACAAATTAATTAATTAAATAGAAGAAGAAAGGCTAAGCATCACTTGATAATTCAGCAGCGGCAAAGAATCCCCCACCCATAATTCCACTCTGCGCAGACATACGGCCCAATCCGTAGATGAGCATAAAGTCCAGCTTCTCCCACTAACTTGATAAATTTCACCAGATCATATCTTCCTTCAAAATTATACTGTTGTCGAAACATATTTTATTAACATTAATCACTCTCTAATAATAAATGCAATGAATCTTCCTCAGCAACGAACCAACCAAACAGAGAGTATCAAGAGAATATGTGAAAGAAAGGAGCAACCTACCTGGTTTTTAACAGGCTCGTGTGCATTCCAGAAAACGTAAGTCTCAATAACGTCCAACCCTCCATCTTTAGATTTTTGTATAAGGTCAGCCCACATCTGCAAAATTATCACTACTGCTAAGATTAAATACAAATACAAGTACAAAAACAAAACATCATATACACACGGCATACCTCAGCTGTACTGCGAGGATAATGAATGGAACCGGAGACCAAGACTCTGCGTTTTCCATCAATCAACAAGGCCCTATGATCGTAAGTCACATTGACTCCATAGGACGTCGTTGCTAATGTTAGAAGCACAGACAAAAACACATACACGAGCAGTAGCTGAAGAATCTGATCCCTTCCTCTCATTTCCACCTATGCTATATGATATGATTTGATATTCTCGACTTTGTTTATTTTTCAGCTTAATTTTGTTCAAAGGAAGGAATGCTAACACAAACTAGTGCTAGTACTGGTAGTCCTTCCTAGTGGATTATCTCTGTTGCTTTGCTTGCTATTTATTTTTTGGTTTTACTTTAACTTAAAACTTGTTTGATTCTGTGTTTTAAGATAGAAGACAAATGCGCCGGAGGAGACGACACGCCATCTGCCCTTCATCCACAGCACAGTCCGACGTCATCAATGAATCATCATTTGTTTGCTTCCTCCTCCTCCTTATCTTCTTCCTTTAGCGACTGTGTTTTCCTTTCGTTGGTTTCCCCACCCTCCTATTCCTCCTCCTCCTCTATGTGGAAGCGAAGTCAATCTGGGTTTCCAATCCACCCCACTAAGTTTATTCTTGTAGAGAAGTGATCAGCTGGTGGTGTTGAATCATGTGAAGGTAGTGGTGGAGGATTGGGGGGACAGAGGATCATGCATTAATTTTTTATGCTTCATCTGCCACCAAGTTTTTGTGCATTTCACTTTCTTACTTACGCGTGTTGAAGTTCTTTTTTACTTAAAATCTTTAAGTTTTAACTTATGAATTCTAATTTCTATATTTTTTGTATAGAAAAATTGATTTGTATTTTATATTCTATGCCATTTTTGGTAAACATACTGCTAAATTTAAATAATTTTTTATTTTTTGTTTACAATTTGTAAAAAAAAATTATAAATTACAACTCACATTCAAAAATTATTTTTTATAAATCATATTAAATGTACTTTAAAAGATGGTTCATGTTATTTGTTTTTAAATTAATTTTTAATATTATGTTTTATTTCATTTTATAATGGAATATGCATTAAATAAAAAATAATTTGTGAGGATTTTATTTAAAAATAAATTATAATATTTGAATCTTTGATGAGTAGGAATTATAGAACTTATATGCATAAAAAAAATAGGTTAGTTATGAGGATTTTTTTACAAATAAATTATTATAGATCTTAGTATTTGATGTGAATATGAAGGGTAAAAATTATTTTTAATATTTTTAGTATATATAATTTTAGAGTTTGTTTTTTTAAAATATTATTACACTTTTTTTATCTAAAAAAAATACTTACTTAAGCATTTAAAAATTTCTAAATCTATAATAAGAGATATTTTATAGGTATCAACCATCTTGACTTATTAGGCACCATTAACTATTAGTTACCAATCACTTAGATTTTCTATATCAAGCCACCAGACACCTTAGTTAAGGAGAATAAATTAAATTGTTTAAAATAAAAAATGAATCAATTATCCAACATATAAGCATTATTCTTAAGCTTTTTGGATACTTTAAGAACTCA